AATTTCGACGAGACCAAGGAAGACAAGACTCTGCTTCTGGGTTGCAAACTATGGAGAGCGTCAATCCGCGAAGCTGTGCCACAAGGCGTTTCCAGGAAGGCTTACAAGAATGACACTGAGGATGGATGCGAGGCTGCGAACGTTCAATGGTCAGCGACGCGCGGGAGAGATGAGGTGGAGGATGCTTACGCAGTGATCGCGCCGGTGTTGACGGCGTAGATGAGGATAGTGTCGATGCGGCTGTCGGACTCCTGGCTCCCGCTGTCGCGTACTGTCAGTCTTTCCCATTACGATGCACATGTCACGTAGTGCTTACCTCTCCCACTTGCCGCGGCCGTGCTGGATGTAGTAGCTGAGAGTCAGCGCCACGAGGACGTCGACAGCAGCGGCACATCCGAGTCCGAGAGCGATCGTGACCAGAGGGGAGACGTTAGCGCGGAAGGGCGACCACTCGGTGATCTCCAAGCTGAGAGCGAAGGAGCCTGAGGTTCAAGCCCATTGAATACTGCAGCCAAGGGGAAAGCGGGCGTTAGACATACCGATGCCACAGCCTGTGGTTATGGAATGGGTCAGAAGTCTGTCAGCAGGTTGGAGATATGACGGTCACTCACCGAGACGGCACAGAGCGAGAATGGTCTTTGTCGCTCCTGGTGAGCTTCGAAACTGTGAAGGGTTGAAGGGAGACTCACGATGAACGCGGTGATCGGTATCGAACCGCTGCTCACTGAATATGTCGTCAGAATACTACATCATGGATGAGCACAACACCTCGACGTACTGATCCACACTCGTCTGATGTAGAACCTGCAGCCTGTGTGAGATTGAGTTGTTCAACTTGATCTGGACGTCCCACTTACGCATGTACAACTGCAGAAATGATAACCTAGAGCACGTACACGATGTGCGATTAGCAGCGTGGAATAGGTAGAAACAATAGTGAGACGTACCCCAACCAGGATGCTGGCCTATAGCGCACGAGAACGTGAGCTAGATACGCTGCGAGCCGTGACGCGGACTTACTCCTGCACCCCTGGAGGTTGATCAGCAACTGTTATATATTCTGCAGAGAGGACGATACGCACCAGTAGATGTTTCCGAGGAACTCAAAGTCTCCAAAGTGCGTGATAGTGTAGGTGTACACTAGTTCCATGCATAACGCGGTGTGAAGAGTCTCCAATCCCCTGCAGCCTTGGATGAGGTGTTGCGGCGTCCGGCCCGGTGAGTAGGACATACCAAACAGTCCCGACGACACCCTTAAGGAAGCGGCTATCTTCGGAGAAGTTTTGGTAGTACATGAACATTTGGAGAGTCGTAACGCCGTAAAGACTGCGCGAAGAGCCGATAGTGAGTCTCTTGATTGATCTAGCGTCCCAGACGCAAGAGAGAGAGCGCACATGCATGCCAGGCAAACCTCGATGAGGAGAGAGCCAGCGACCTCGTCAACTATAGCCATGGCGGCAAAGCCGTTGGTGGGAGGGAGGGAGGGAAATCAGAGGAGGGAGAGAACGTGAGGATCGGGAGGAGGAGAGAGGTAGGGTGGGCCGCGGAGGATATGTCGTCTCCACCCTGTGTCGTGCGGATTTTCCGCGCGGGTCAGGCATCTTCCGGGACGCGTGGAGACCAGAAGTGGAATTGGAGGTGGTGCACGGCGCTTTGTCAGAGCCAGCGTTCTGGCTGTTCTGGCTCGCTGTCGAGAGCGGCGGCAGGCCCATCGCCGATTTGGCTAGGGGCGATCGGTGTAAGAATAAGGGAATGATTGCGGGATGAGTCTGTGGGTCCACACTTCTACCGACGCATTGGGTCTTCGGAACAGTGGCGGTACGTCGCGATCCCGCTTCTCGCATCCTGCACCACTGGACCTACAACGCAGCAGTGGCAGCTGTCAGCGTCTGTAGACTCGCAGATGACGCTACACAGACCGGTTATACCCTCCACCAACAAAGTCGCGCTCAGTCTGCTCATCGTGTGGACGAACATGCTGGAATGGCGGGGCGAAAGTGGCGGTCGAAACAGGAACGGCAAGGGGGCGCGCCCCAATGCTCGGGTCGGAAAAGCGCATTGTCCGGAATACCCGCCCTGCCATATCAGGCAGTCCCGGTATGTGAGTTCGCCGGAGCGCCCGTCGGACCCAGCGCAATTTCACGCGCTCCCTCCGACCAAGAACGACTCGGAGACGCCGGCGGGAGAGTCGACTCAACTTCACGCTCGTCTTACTCACAGTGACTGGACAGGTTCTCCTTAATTGGCACAGCGGCGATAGTTGGAATTACTCTACTCGTATGAAACTGGACACACATAAGTGTATGAGGTATGCTTGCATGTACTCGATGTCCAAACGTCCATGAAGTCGTTCGCTATCACAGGGCAAGTCCTCCGGAGTTGAGTAACCGGTGTACGTACAACAGGTTTGTGCGTGCTCCATGGGCTCTTTCTTCTCCCAACATCCGACTCTACTACGGATATCCGGGAGTTGAGTCGCCATAGTGACTACGGAAGAATTGCATGTCCCCAACCTAACCCGCTGCCGGCTGCCGCGGCGTTTCCTCTTATCTTGTTTCGCAGGATAGCAATCGGTCTGCCACCGCACTTGCAATGATGCAGCATCTCGCCAGGCGTTGTGGGAAAAGCCGCACCAATTGAGCTCAGTATTGGTGCAGTCCTCTGGCTGAACCTCGACCTCGACTGCCGTGACTCCCGCCATCTCAACGTCGCCGCGCTAGAAGCTCTCATGCGTTCAGATGATCGCGTAGTAAGTAGTGTGCAATGCCAGCGTAGCGTGCTTGTCGCAACGCGCCAACATTAGCGGCGCCCGCAAATCATACTAAGTGTATAAGTGTATGTCGAGTCCCACCTGCTCATGAGGCCACCATGACTGCTGATAATACTCGCGGCTGAGGGATGCATTGAATGGTCGCGCGGTGGATCCTGTCTGTATCGACGTCGTGTGGCAGAGTACCGGAGATTCTTGCTTGTAGTCGGCGCATGGGGTGACCTGACATCCCTCTGACTGCATGGCATGCTCACGCCTTTCGTGCCCGAAACTTGTCTCCAGCTCAGTGGTGAGCACTGCAGATGCTCAAATCCCGAGCATCGTGTATTCAAGTCTAGTTCGTACATCACAGCGGTATATATCATGAGGTATCCAAAGCGACACTTGAGGTGCGACGGCGACGCTTCCAAAAGCAGGGCGCTGAAGGGTATATTGCACAACGTGCCTCCACCGCCCATGCGTCAAACAGGAAGCTCCAGCCCGATGCTCTTCAAGAACGTGTCCGTGGTGTCCCACAGCTCCTTCTGCAGATCTTCGCGGTCCGCGATCGGGTTTGCCTTCACGAGCGTCGCGGGCGGCTTGAGGTACGCGCCGCGGTATGCCTCGGACTTGGCACGCGGGATGGGAGATACTGCGGCGAAGACTGGGCCCAGGGCGCCTTTCGCGGGCGATGTGAAAGTGAGATTGGCGATGAGCCGGTAGACGGGCGAGAGGAAGGGGCCGACAGAGTTAGCGTATGCTTGCACGCCCTCTGCCGGTGCGAGTTGTGTGAGAACACGGGACAGGGATGGAAGAGTGTTATGAGATTCTTACCGGTATTGACCTCTCCCGGGTCCACGGCTATGAGGAGAATGGGGATGCCCTCATCGTTCAAACGACGCTGAAGCTCTCTAACAAAGAGCAGCTGCATGATCTTTGTGTGCGCTGTGAAAGCTCGCTATCGGATTGGGGCAAGGCAGAGTTGACAGTAGGCGACATACAGTACCGTAGCAGCTGCGGGAACGAGGTGTCCTCGAAGTCTCTATTCAGGTCTTCGAGGTTGCGGAAACGGGCGTCACTCGAGCAGTGGTAGTGTCTCGCAGAGTTGAGCTGTATCCGGACGTGAGTCGTGCGAGCGAACGATGCAGTTTCAGTACTGACGAAGACTACGCGGACGTCGCTGTTGGGCTCTCCAGCGGTCTGCTTGAGGAGAGGCAAGAGAGCTCGGGTGAGGACATATGCTCCTATATAGCTGAATTTACGCATGTCAGCAGCGTTCAGGACGTGTTCTCGTGGTCACTCACTTGACCATTACTATATCTTGGATACCTACGGAAGGGTGAGCTGGCTGGTGCGCAGGATGATGGTGATCTCACCATCCTTGCTCTTAGCAGACGGGACCAAAAGCCTACCCCATCAGCAACATGAAGTTGTATCAGACCTGCTCATTCTACTATGCCCACGCTACTCACAGGGCGGCGTTGTTGACTGCGGACGAGGCACGATGAAAATCAGGTTAACCGCTGGGGCATGTGTCCACTTACTCAAGACATCCAATCGCTTCTCCTTGCGCATGAACTCCTCCGCAGCCTGCTTGACGTCCCGCGGGTCGCTGAGATCAAGCTTCAACCAGTGCACTGCGCCGCTTCCTGGAGCTGTGACTTCTGCCCGGAGACGTTCTATAGCTGCCTTCGCCTTCTGCTCGTTGCGGGCTGCCATATAGACCTTGGCACCGCGCTTCAGCAGGTGGCGAATGATGGCAAAACCTATACCAGCACTTGGAGTCCGGGCTGTCAGCGGTGGCGTACATGGGACAGGTTGGAGATACATACTTGCCACCGGTCACCAGAATAACCTTGCCCGCGAGGTCCGGAATATCGGTCTCGGGATTAAACCCCCTGGAGAAGAGTGCGCCCATGGCAAGGCGGAGTCCTAGCGGAAGTCAGACGAGATGGAGGTAGTGAACTGACAGGCCGAAGAACAACAACAGCCGCGAGTCTTGTCTTCCCATATCGCCAGCGTCCCTGGCATCGTGCAACGTGTCGGGCCATGCGCGGGGTCCAGATGCAAATTCCACCGACCCGGCGGTACCTCCATCAACGGGGTCCTTTTGGTAAGTTGAGACGAGCCCAAACCAAGTCGCACCGGCGGTGACTACCGCAGTTGGAAGGTCGGATATTGCCGATGGATGCTGAGCGACGGCTTCCGGAGCCGGAGCATCTATATATACATATGGGCCCGTCGCTCTGAAGCCCCCGTTGTCTAATGGCTATGACGTCAGACTTCTACCTGAATGCGCGGGGATCTGGAGGTTGCGGGTTCGAGTCCCGCCGGGGGTAATTGGATATACCTTTTTCCCTTCACTTGCAGGCCAAGGCATCCACCTTCATTAGCCTGGATAGAACCTCGCCAACTTGTACGTTCTCTGCAGGTCGAGGAGTCGAGGATGCCTCTAGGGAGGCGGGCGACGGTGGGTGGTTTGGGGGGCGCTGTGACCGTGGAGCGTCATTTCTATGGCATACGACAACTTGGAACTCGCCATCAGCTTCAGACCTCAAGGCCTCCCAACCGACGTCTTCCACATCGCATAGCAATGAGCTGGACGATATTGCGGACGGAGGACACAAGTGCCAGTCTCTGCGAGCTATAGACTCGCAATGACCGTGACCATTGGAGCCATACGCGCTATACATACCGTATCGCTAGTAGGACAATCTCGTTCCAGTCCCTAGCAGCTGCGATGGGCCCATGAGTGAGCTGAAGAGTCTTTCAGCTTGAGCACTGAGTACTGATGATTTCCCTTTCTTCAGATCCCACCGGCGGTTCCAGTTTTTACTCCACATCCAGGGCTGGCAAGGAATATCTGCCAGGGAATCTGTCCTCATTCTCTCTCCCCAAGCGGACAGCGATGTTCGCAGCGAGGTGAGAGCCAGCCTGTCCGTACTACAGTATTTTTTCACCTAGCTTTCTCCCAGCATCGTCTCATTCCCAGATCTACGACGCAGAAAGCATCCAATCTCCCCAGGCCTAGTGGCGACTGTCACGCCGTCGGAAGACCATTGACTGACACAGTCGGGAAGGTTCAATGGCCAGGACGGAGGCAACTCAGGTCGCCACCGTGGAGTGGCTGAGCTCCTCAAAGACGATCCCGGGGGATGGCACAGCACAGCGTTGCGTGTACGGCTACACCGTGCAATGCGTGTCACAGGCTCAGAAGACCCAGCCACGGCGCATGGACTGGTGCCAGTGCAGTGCGTCTCATTCACAACTCCGGCATGCCGGTCCTTCGGCTCACACTTAGCCACATCCTATTATGGCGAAGCATTGGCTGCGGGGGATGCAGCAGACAAAGCGGTTTGTCGGAGCAGACCAGCGCACAATAGCCGATCGAGCACGCTAGGTTTCAAGCGCGGCCCTTTCGCCACGTCTCCATGGAGGCCAATGCATGGGCGAGGTGTATATAACTCCCTGTACGGCTGCCATTGCAGGCCGAAACATTGTCACACCCCGTCCCCCCCGTCGACTCCTGCATCATGTCTGACAGGTCTCCCTTTGCGAAGTGCATCAAGGCGTTTGAATACCAGGACCCTCTACCTCCCGTGCAGCGGTGCGTTCATTGTGGCTACCTATGCTTGTCCACGAGAATAGCTGATCTCTCTACTTGTAGGACGGAGCAGGAGGAGGTACTCTCCGCCATGGTGGAGGACTGGATCACCGCAGATCAAGCCCAGGTCGCATGGCGAGGCTTCATGAGAGATTACCTCCCGGATGAATCCGAGCGGTGAGTACTCCCAGAGGTGTGGCTTATAGCCCTCCATCTCACGTCGAGCAGTACTAGCCCGGAGGAGCTCGCGACCCGCCAGGAGTTCGCAGACAAGCTGTACGATAACTTGCGCATTCGCGTGCCGGGTTTCTACTACTCCGACGAGAAGTCAGACGCCGACGACGCCAGCTGCGCCGACCTCTCAGCGGATGAGTGCTCGTGTTCGGACTGCAACCCCGAGTCGGACGACTCGTCTGAGGACTCAGGCTGGGAGTCCGAGCCGGTCACCTCGTCATGCGAACTCTCTAGCAGCTCCGAGTCGGACGACAACGAAGACATCGACTTCGCGGTTTCCGACAGCTCCGCCGACGATGTGTCTGCCGGGGACCTCTCGGGCCAACGGCTTGTCGCGGTCGCTGCTGGAGGACGACTCCCGCGGCCCTCACGTATGCTTCCCAGCGACTGGTGAACGCCTCATCGACACCCACTTTCTTGTACCATCTCGCTACCCACCCATGTCTTCTCGTCTCTGCCCACATCATTTGCACTCTGCACCCATCACCCCATATCCCGCTCGTATGCATCCATGGCTTTTCTATGCCCCACCCTGCATCTCTCACAACATGGAGCCGTAGTCGACGACTCGCGTAGTGTATTAGCCTCAGATATTCCGTAATTGCCCGCTGTTCCTATATACAATACACAGATCTATGATCACACAAGAAATTCAACGCCGATCTACCCAGCGCCATATCGACAGGCTCACTCCTCATCCTCCCAGACGACAACCTCGGGTATCCGCTCCCTGATGGCCTGGCGCCGTTGCGCGCGGAGATCATGCCAGCCTGCATAGATCCCCAGCGCGAGCGCGACACAGCACACGCCGATCGTCAGCTTAATGCTGTCGATGTAGCATTCTCGTCCTTGTATGCAGTGATGGTCGTCCGGGATCCCGCCGCGCGCATGAATGCCGCTCGTGGCGTCCATGATCAACGTGGACGCGGACGGTGCGGAGGTGATGGAGGACGCGAGCGAGGAGATAGCGGAGAGCGTGCCGTTCTGTGCGGGAGACGCGTCGTCGTCAGTGCCGTGCGCGTCGAGATTGCGTCCGAAGGCGATGGAGAGGATATTTCCGCCGATCATGGGCGAGAGCGAGACGAAACCCCAGTTCTCCGAGAAATGCGCTATGACAGGAGTCGGTGATCGTCAGTAATCACCCAGATGACATGTAGAACGCAGAGGGGATGCTACTTACGCAAGCCGAACCACTCGATGACCATAGTCGGGAAGAGGCCGAACAGCCCACCGTAAGCGAGACCAAGGAGCGCGCTTGCCTTCCAGAGGTTCTGGATATTCTCAATGTAAAAGCACATCACCTGTGAGATGACGAACATGCCCGCGACGAGCGCGATGCAGAAAGAACGCGGGAGGCGCAGCTTGGCTTTCGTGAAGTCGGCGATCACACCTATACAATTCCAGCAGAACGGTCAGAGAGGTTAAGAATACGCGCAGGAGACGAACGAACCTATGACAATGCGTCCAAGGCAGTTCATCACGCTGATGGTGGAGACCTGAGTCGCTTGCCATTGTGCCGCCTTGACCTCGTCGTAGTCTGGATTGTCGTTTGCGAACAGCGCTTGCGAGATCGCACCAACGTTGTTGATGTCTATGGACAGTTAAGTTCAGAGTATACATCGGCAAGCCGGAAGTGGCTTACACATAAGGCCAGTACCGCTCACTGGTACGAAGCACGAGGTCAGGTATTGATAGGAGCACAAGGGGGATGGTGGCTCTTACATAGAGCGCAGATCGTGAACAGCAGCCAGAACTCTGGCGTCATGAACAAGCGTTTGCCGTGGATATTGGGCTCGCCATCCGGCGCCTTCTCTGTGTTGCTACGAATGCTCCTTCGCGATAGCGATCGTGAGCTATGCGAACGGTGGCGCGCGAGACCTGCACGCGTTGGACTGAGTGCGACAGAGTCGACCTGCCCAGGCACGACATAGTCGGACGCCGCATGGGGATGGACAGATGACACAAGAGGTTCCTCCTCTTCAAGCTCTATGGCAGGTTCCCGTTCCTCCTCTTCATCATCTTCGTCTGGGTTGGGGGCGAGAAGGTGGGTATGGCTGGTGTTGTCGATAGAGTATGCCCTGGGCGAGCCAGAGCCGAGTCCCTCTCCGACACCGTAGTCGGCGGGACTGTCAGGCGTCCCGTCTTCCATCCGTCTAGTCGAGTCTGTATGAGGAGGAGGTATAGGACGGACGAAGAGGAAGCCAAGGATCATGGGAAACGCGGTGCCGATCGCCAGGGTCAGCAGGAGGGAAGGAGTGTTTCCAGGGAAGAACGTGCGCGCGATGGTGGAGAAGAGGAAAGCCGAAAGGCCAAACCCAGAGATGACGATCCCGTTGGCAGTGGCTCGCTGCATGCAACATGTCAGTCGCCGTGATACTGGAGTAAACGTGTCGGGCTCAGTGGAAAACGTACTGTCTTATCTGGAAAGCTCTTCGCCGTGGCGTTCATAGAGCCCACCAGTCCGCCGTTCCCTCCGATGCCAGTGAGAAAGCCGCACAGCACAAGGATGCAGAAAGGGATGGTCGCAATGGTGCTAGCGCCCTCGGGCAGGCCGTTCAGGAAGAACTGACGGATGCCGAGATACCCGATGAGGAGGGAGAAGAACGCCATCACCATGAGTACTCTGGGTCCTCGTCTGTCGACTATGCCACCCCATATTGGCGCTGTGCCGTATACACCAACTGGAGGGCAGCGTCAACGCGAAGCTAAGACGGTCGGTCCATGCGGGACGTACTGTTTCCGGAGAGACCGATGATGTTGATTTGCGTATGTGTGAGCTTCAGGCGTGCCCCGAGTTGTGGCCCGTACGCTGTAAAGAGACGTTGTTAGTCCTACTGTTCACTGGATATCGTATTCCACAGGAGAATCTTCTGAGCCCACGCCCCAGGCGTTTCGCCCTGAAGTCGTACGGCACTTCGAGACGCCCAGCTGCGCTAGCATCACGTTGTCGGGTACACAGCAATGCCAGCAGTTCAGGTCACTCCAAACAGGACCCACTCAAACATTGTGCTCCGTACGCCATAGGGAACATGCGTGTAGACGTCAGGGGCTTCAAGATGGATGCACGCGAACGCGTCAACCGGATGCTATTTCGGGGGTAAATGACTCTGTGATGCAGTCACCCTGTGGGACGAGGATGCGGCGCTCGACCACCGCAGGGATCATGCATACCAGGACCTATGTATGGCGCCCCGTAAAGTGGCACGTTGCAGCAGACAAGCAGTACTCAACGCTTCGCGCAGTGCGAGTGGTGATGTTGCAGCGGGACGCCTTAATGGGCTTGATAAGGGTGCGAAGTTCGTACATACCTGAGAAGACCTAACCGGGAGTATCAGGCATTGAGCTTCCTGCACCATGTCCTAAGTACGCACATAGTTTGTTCCTGACGCGAGTGCGACGAGAATGGAGGTTAGAAAGCTTGATATTCGCGCGAAACTGAACAGCGGGGGCGGGTGATTGGTATGCATGGAGAGCCCGAGGTTCTAGCGCTAATGACGGAGT